ATGTGTATATCAAACCTACGGAGATAATTTTAGGCCATAGATGTCAGATAACAATAGAAGATCTGCGCTTGCTCTCATTCTCTCTCCGCAATGTTTACTTTAGCCAATTGACTTAATATGAAACATGCTTCAGGTGGGTATCGGAAACTTTCTTTCTTGGCTCCTGGATACCTACAGTATCATAGGGTAGAAATCGCGAATTTACAGTATTTGCTCACTCACATATTATAAAACTGTCGGCCGACCCATTTTCTCCCAGGAAACCAACCCATTGTTCGGGACTAGTAGAGTCCATATCGTTCTAGAGCTGTCTTGATGCTGGAACTTCCAACACTATGATATCACGATATAACTACCCGCTCCTATCTTGGCGTTTGGCATATCTTTTTATTTAGAGCCGGCGTCCTGCCACACCTCATCATGAACATCTTCTTCCCCTTAGTCACAACCTTATTACACCATGGACACAACCGTTGCTAGCCTACCCCCTGCAGTGGGAGATCTGCTCATGAAGAACATCGGAATCATACAGATAGTGTCGATGTATTCCATCGGTGCGTACAGTGCACTGGAAACCGGCTTTTTCACATTTTTCTTCTTCAAAAGATATCGTGGCTTGTATTTTTGGAGTATGCAAGCCGCCTCCTGGGGAATCATTGTACATGCCCTTCCAGCCATGACCCGATTCATTTCTCAATCATCCAATCTGCCTACGTCAATTCCATTCATACTTGGATGGTATGCCATGGTGACCGGCCAAGCTGTTGTGTTGTATTCACGGGTACATTTGCTCGCCCCCATCGAATGCAAAACACGATGGATCTTGTGGATGATTGTTGTGAACGCTTTCATTCTTCATGTCCCAATGACAGTGTTGTTCTTCGGCCTCAACAGCGGAGCGGCAGGGTTTGCTCGCCCTGCTACAATTTTTGATCGAATCCAGTTGATTGGTTTCTGCATTCAAGATCTCGTCATCTGCAGTATCTACATCTATCACACAGTTTTGTTGTTGAAAAGCAGCCGTAACCTGCACAGAACTGGGAGCCGCAAAGTGCTCGTCAATATACTCTGTGTCAACATCCTGGTTGTGCTCATGAATATTTTGCTCCTCGTCACGGAATTCAAACTCCACTACATCCAAGTCAGTTTCAAGACGGTGGCTTACAGTATCAAACTAAAACTGGAGTTCTCTGTATTGAATGAATTTCGTTCCTTCTTCTCCAATTCAGTCTACCTGGGCACTTCAGAGATCGAAAAGAAGCCTCACCAGGATTATAGGAGCTCGTCCAGCGTGAGATTGAACCATTCAAATGCCACGCAAGTTGAGGTGCGACATATGCCTTCAAGATCGAGTGAAGCTCACTTGCAGCTAGAGTATGAAGGATCGCTGCATGAGACCCGGAGTGATGACCATTAGTCAGTGGAAGCCATTGCACCGCCGCACAGTCTCTCAGATGATAGCTCGGGGCATACACTCCATGACTGGTCGGGATTTTCGAGTGACCTCGGGCTGTCGTTGTCGCAAATTTCAGCAAAGTCTGATGCATGAGTTTCTCAGCTGCCATTCCAATTATGCGATTCAACCAAAGTTAAAAGATTGCTTCAATCGTTAAAGAGAACAGACTTTATGGAAAAATCGAATATGTATACAGGTCCGCTCGAAATTAGTTTCACCATGTCATTCTCTTTGGTTCTTTCTTAAGTCTTGGCCAGACCCACCTCGGCCTACATCTGGACTAGCCCATCAATTTCTGTCGAATAGGAAAAGGGGAGTGAAACCCCACTAGCTACATCAGGCATAGCGTTAACAAAAATAGAGGCTGAGAAGCAATCAAAGAGAGCAAATTGGTGAAACTAATTTCGAGCGCGTCTGTATCTGCAAGCAATATCACCAGATATAAAACAAACGTATGAGTTACGTCGAGACACTCCGTGTGAAGCTGGAAGCGAAATATTGAAGAATTCTACACCCAGCGACTAAAACTGCAGAAATAGCAGCCAATTTTACACTTTCATCATATTGAGATAGATTTAGTAGCACTCTCAAAATCCAGCGGCTACAACCGTCAACCTAGGACTCAAGTCAAGAAAGCGACGCAAGCTTCTCCTCATGTTCAGGCCTTTATTGGTCATCTCACGGAGTCAAGAAAAGCAAGAAGAGCGTGGTTCGGTCATAACGGGTCACCTGCTACTGCGTTGATATATCGTGGCATCAGATAGAGCCCGTTCGTGCTCCCTTGTAGGAAGAAGACGCCCTCAGCAATGCCGTTCTAGACATTACGTGAGGCCACGGGCATTGTGAGGCAACCCCAGTAAAGCCGCCCCCCTTATACAAGCAATTTGCCAACACAATTTATGAAGACTCCCGGTTGCCTTTTTGCTGAAGTCATCGAAAAATGACCTGTGAATCACTCGCGCACAACAACCTTTTACAAGGTATGAAAAGTTGGAAAGAGCCGCCACCGAAAATAACACATCCAAAAGTCTACTGTCAAGCCAGGCCAAGCAAGGGCGGACCCATAGATCAATATAATTCAAGATTTCTGAGGTTAGGTGCCAGTATGACATGAAGCAGGGAAGAAGCGCGATATGAGAAAATCTCTACCTCATGTTTCAGCTGTTTGGCACTCCATTAGCTTAATGACACTGCTAAAGGAGTATAAGTATGTTTTGAAGTCCTTGGGGTTTACTGTACTTGACTCATTACGCATCCATTATTTCCATTATTCCACAAAGATGGCTCCTTACACTCGCCAGTCTCGCCGTACTGGAGGCAAAAACAAGTCAGACACAGCTCTTTCAAGACGTGTTCATTTGATGTCTTCACGAACATACAATTCAAAGGAGAAATCGCCTTTCACTGCCAGCAGAATTGATGGAAGTGTCGTCGGCTTCAAATTCGTCAAGCAGCCGAAGAAAATTCTACGGATCAGGCTCCGGAAGAGTGCGCATGAACCAAGCGTGTCACTAGCGACCAGCTCAGTCAATCCCGGCTGCCAGGGTAAAAATATGAAAAGCAAGAGAGGCTCCCTAGAGAGCCGCACCATTTGGTTACAGCGACTTCGCCCTACGCCCCACCGAAAAGCTGAACTTGTGAAATCCCATAATTAGTGCCGGAAGTAGAAGGTGGCATCAGAGGACAGGATTGGTTATCGCAGTTGTCTTTTTGAGATGCTATATCAATTGTGGGTCAGAATGAGAAATCAATAAAGCTACTGAAGTGTAATCTTAAAATACAGTAGAAGCTTCGCGCACGGCTCGATGGTTCCTTCCTCAGTACAGAACCTGCTGGATGATAGAGCCCATAGGCAAATAATATGATTCAAAATCTGGCTATTGTATCAAAAACTTGCTGGCCACTTGGGCTTTCTTGAATTCTCATATCACATAATCGCAATGCAGAAGTACGTAGATAATCAGTTCAAAACGTTGAGGATTCTCTTAAATTATGTCTCGCTCGATTAATTTCCAAAGTGTCGGCTTTCAGTCTGATTGGATTGGAGCACGTGTAGTAAAAATTGCAAGGAAATCGCGCACGCAGAACTCAGTATCAGCTGGATCTGCAATCAATCCGTTTACAGTAGTTTCAAAAGGCTCATTTTCGAACTTATTATTTCAATTGCTATGCTCCATAGCTCTTACACTGTGCCTAGGATAGCAACAGCGAGCAAAAGAGCAGATAAATAGGAAAAATGAGCAATAATCCAGCGCGGAAGTGTCTTTGTTTGCGTCGTAAGCCTTTCTTGCCACAAATACCATGCTGTGATGCCCAAGTAGTCAAGGAAAATTAAGAAAAGGATCAAATAGTGAGTACTGTCTAGACGAAATGCTCCGAAAAATGTACTCATTACCTTCAGAGTTGTAGAGATGAAGAAATATACAAGAAATAAGTGTTCCGCAACTTGCGTTACAGTACAAGTGGGTTATTCTGCTACTGACAGTTGACACGGAGGAGCTTGGCAGAGATTAGCTCAATAGTAGGCTCTGTCCTGAGAGTTCAGACCTACTTCATGTGACGACGGGAGAGTCGAAGCAACCCCGAGAAAAATTTGACGCCATTGTGGCAGCCTATGGCTCCAGAAAAGGCATAATAGAGTGGCAGATAAAGTCACATTTGAGAAACCCAAAGCCAAGTGAATCTTTTGATTGGAAAAATTGCTGTTGAAATTCCACAGAAATGATATCCTTAAGACCGATATGAACAAGAGCAGAATTATGAGGAGTGACTGAAAAAGATATTCGGAAATCATGCTTGAGACACAATTGTTACCAGTACAAAAGGGAAATGATAATTTATTGTTGTGATATGAGGCTGGTGCAGATCAGGAACCAAGCCGAACCATCGGAATTAATCCCGAGATATCTATACAAAGAACCAAGTTGATTTCCAATCAACTTGGTCTTCTTGTTGTATATATATAGCCTAATGTTTCTCTTTGAAAAAAGAGACAATCGATACATCTGAACTTCAATATTTATATATGAGAATGGTGCCTGGCAACTTCCTAGGAGAGCTTTTCAGAGTCCCTGGGAAAGATTGAATACCTTGAATGCTGAATTAGTATTCTTAATTTCTTCCGTGCGCCGGTCAGAAACTAGTTCCCGCCATCAGCCTTTGGCTCGTGTTACGTATATACATTTTTATTCCTAGGACGAAGAGTGTGATTTAGAGAAACGGATACCATGTCAAAGAATGCAAGCCTACGTACCTTCGCCGAAGAATGAGAACTAGACACAGAGACGTACTGCCAACGCAGACCTAAAAAGCCTCAAAAAGAGGGAAAAGGTTTGCGCCCGCACGTAGTACAGTTGATGATGATGATGATGATGATGATGATGATTTCATTTACCCTGACCCCTCGCCTCAACGGCGATATGCAGGCTACAACTACTTTCTAAACATATGCTGATTGATCCCTGAGATTGCTCCAAACTTCCTGACGGTGAACTTTGAGCCTCACCTGGTAAAGCCTGTCGTGGCCTTATTGCCATTTGTGGTATTAGGCTGCCCTCATGGCGCGGCTAGAATAAATATTCGGGTGAGGCGGCCAACGGTTGTCCGCAGCTGGCTGCATCTCGGCTAGAAGTTGCGATAATGCTGGCAAAGCTGAGATTAAAAACTTCGTTAGACATTGCGTAGTGAATGAGTTTCTGTTGCGAGCTTGACGAGCTGAACTCTTGCTTGTCTTCTTGTTGAGCTGGAATGGCGATGGTTTGTTGTGAAACCGTCGATAAAGGTCGTCGATTGTGAGTGTGTATTTGGGCGGAGGTGCGGTTTGATATCTTTTGGGAGTTGGTTGCGGTAGAGAAGGTTTAGGGCGTTGTAGAACGGAGGCATAAGTTGGTTGTTGGTTTGGTGTGGAGGTAGCGGGGGATATTGCGTGGAGAGGCTGAGGAGGTTGAGAGACCTTAGAAGAGATAGTCGGTTGAGATTGTTGCGTCCATGGTTCAGGTATCGTAGTAGGCTGTTCAGTGGCTGTATCGATGTTCATGGTTGAAGGTTTATCTGGCAGAATGGATGCTGGCGTTGTTTCTTGAGGCGGCTGTTGAGGTGATGGGGATGCGGTGGCTGAGTGGGTGGAAATGTAGGGCCTTTCAAAAGTAGGCTTCAAATCGCGACAGATTATTTGCCATATGCAGTCTGTTAAATGAAGCTGTTGCATCTCTTCGATGGGATTCTTCTGGAGTGTGTACAAAGGCTTGGTTGATCCACAGGCAAAACAACACGCTGATTCGTCGAGATCTGAGGGTGGTTTGCAATACAAGCCATTCTGGGCTAGCTGTAGAGGAGTGACATTGAAGAGGACTTGTCTATGAAATGAGAGAGCTCTTGCAGCGATAGTCGAGTAGGTGATCGGGATTTGGTGGAGAGGTTTGTCGGTGCAATGTGGGGTGGTTAGGCGTGGTGGAACGGTGGGGTTGGCGGGGTTGGTGGGGTTGGCGGATTTGAGTAGTGAGGAAGGACGACGAAGGGCTGAGAGGGGCTTGGGTTTCCAGCCCGCCCTGGCATCCTGATGCTACGAATTCATCTCTCGGAGCTGATCTGCTGGCGTACCCTTCGCTACAGTCAGATGGTACCCCTTCGCTACAGTCGATCTGGTAAATTCCTCGCAAATACAGTCCAGTACTGACGTAGTACAGTTCGTCCTGAAACTGGTGCAACCGCCTCCACTCATTTAGGATGCCCCATCGCCAAGATACTCTAAGCCAATTTAGGCCTAGTCCCGGAATATCAATTTTCCTGAGCCAATCCTAATACCAACGGTACCTTTCTCAAAATTACGGTGCGTCTCTGGTCACTTGGTATCGAGAACTGGCGTACCATCGTAATATTTCGTATATATTTGTTTTTGAGGTATTCTAAATTGAGCAGACTAATACCATTTTCCATACAATACTACATTTTCCCCATAATGACCGATTCAAGGTCGCGACACTTGGCGATATGGAGATATATGGCATCCAATCAGACGCCGGTAGCCAACTTGCCACGCCTAGCAAAGATATTCCCTTAGTATATGCTAACCTTTGAGTGATGACATCTTTTTTTTGCGTCTTTGGCTTGATTGGGATCACAATCGATACCTCATTTTGCATTTAGGTCGGCTTTGAATTAGAGCAATTGAAATTTGAGTCCCTTTCTTCTAGATCGCATTGTGCTGCGGTTCTATGAGTCGCATATTATAGCAATATTTTATGAAAATTTCCCCATACGGTACATATTATGCTCTTCGTCTGCCAACTGCACTACACATACATACAGTATTAATTCACTCTCACGATAATGTGCTCAAGGGGACCATCTCCAAACACAGTTCTACCCATTTCTGTGTGTGAGGTATAGTATTGCTTCATGGTCCGTTTGGAAGCTGGGTATTGCTAGTAAGAATGACCTGATGTTGTCGGAATTTCCATGTCGTAGTTAAGCCACAATGCTTTGAAGGACTTGATTAAGCTGAGACAATTCAAGAAGATGGCTTCGGCGTCGGCGATCGGAACGAGGGTCGAAAACACAGCCGCAACCATTTTCTGTGCATTGTGTGCAGGGTTTCTCTCCAGAACACTGAAAATCCTTAGCTACATGCTTGGGAGAGTTGGCGTCGTGTTCAAACCTTGACTCGCTTCTTTCGACACTCCCCACGTGCTAGAGAGACCTTTCTCTTTTCTCTTGATCCAGGCTGACTTTTATTCGCATAGGAATATTTCCTGTGGCAGATAATCGTGCGCGAGAGCCCTTGAATTCTGGCATTTTCTGTTGTTATCAATAGATGAAAGTATGAACGAAAAGGAGAGTGATTAGGAACGGCTAGGAGGGGAGGCTTACTGAATTTTTTGGTGCTTGGCTTTTGATAATAGAGTCGTTTTCTTTCCTGATCCTGATGAAATGCTTGTCAAAAAAAAGAAACCCGCCTGGTGGCGGAATTGCTACAGTATTGAGCGGCTCATAGGCTCCATGCCGCAGGTGTGCAACGATAGCAAACAAAGAAGTCGGCCCTACTTGGTTTTTGAAGACTTCCGATTCGCAAGAGGCTCACCTCGAGCACCCAGCTGATCATTTTTGCTTCTTCTTACCATGTGGCACAGGGCATCGTCACCGTCCTAGCCCAGAGCGGGCTAAGCAAGGTGTTGAAGTTAGTCCGAGACTTGTCAGAAAGTTTATCTCTTGGTCCGAGTTGCAAAGTGCGGGTCGGTCGGCCGATTTCAAATAGCATCCACAACAGTATCATGGTAACGTCAGTAGTGCAACTCTCATAGCCGGATGTTCTACACTGAGACTCGAAATTGGCTTCCATGTTTTACACAAAGAATTGATCTCGAACCCTAATGCTAAGGCAATGGTAAAACTACCTAGTCCCGATATGACTTGATAGCAGGTCACCCGTACACGTTAGTGGAGAACAGTAAAATATCTAACAGGGCCAACACGTCAATTTTACGGTACCGTAATTACCAGCCACTGATACTCATCTAGGATCATTAATATCCTTAGATTACCAACCTAGACAGCCGCCCGAACAATGACGGACATTTGGTTTTTATCTCATCCCTGGGAACGTAGGTCCCATTCCCACTATTTCGAATTGTCTTGGCCATACCATGGATTTTGCCGCGGACCAAGCAGATGCAGTTATTTATTTGATTCCTATAGCTCAGCGATATGACTGGAAGAACGGCTGAACCCTTGCAAACAAATCAAACAGCAAAGGAACCAAGGACTTCATCACGTGATTAGATGTGTCATCAATATATCTAAGCTTCCCCTGCAAGGCGCCTTTCACTTTTGCTTAGTCCCGACACGGCAACGGCAACCCACGACACTCAATCGTGATAGATCTCGCCAGTATTTCTCAATCACTGGTATTCCATAGACACCATCGGCAATACCAGGGTCTATAATGGCCTCCTTTCACTCTCTTCCACCAGAGACCTTGGATTTAATCGCGATGAACCTTGACTTGCGTGATTTCTTACAGTTCCGCATGACTTGTAGTCGAACGTGGTCGTTATTCGGCTGTGGTACACTGATACCCATTTTGGAGGATCTCAAGGCTCTTAAATGTGAGAGGCTGGAAGAATGGTATGAGAAATGCCGATTAAGAAAATGCCATTACATATCGCGAGGCCACATTCTATCATACGCCTATCGCAAAAATGGTGTGACTCAGGGCCTGGATATTCTGGTCCAACGTGGAGCTTCACTGAAGTTTGTTCCGTGTGGCGACCTTGTTCAGCATGCGGCTCGTTCAAACGATTACCAAAGGCGATTAAGCTGGTTGACCCATCATGGTGCATCTTACACAGAAGTTCCAGGTGGTATTAACAGGCTTTGTCAAGAATCTTACGACAGAAATGATGTCGAAAGATTCAGGTGGCTGTTCCCGAATGGAGCCTCTCTGGATATCCTTGCCGAAACAGTCTCTAGAGTTCCTAGCCGACCTGGTCCAAGAACAGTTAACGCTTTACGTTCTCATCGCGGAAGTTTGGATAAAGTCCTCGGGGCAGGAGAGATTTCGCGCGCTCCAAAAAGGATTTCCCGTGTTCCAAAAAAGATTTCTTCAGCGCGGCATGGCCGGGTATAACAATAGTGGATGTGGCACGCCTAGCTTTCTATTTTCATCAGACAAATATAAGAAGAACCGATATCATCCTGTGTATATGTTGGCAGTATCTGAGGGCGTTTGGCACGATATATGTTTGACATCAGAGCCGGTATCACGCCCGCCTTGTCGTGATCAGCTAGTCTGCCTTGCTCCAATGCGCCTTGTCATCAACGAAGAAGAGACGGCACAATCAAAATATGGATAGCTCACGTCGGTTGTGATTAGATTAGATAATACATAATCCTGTTCTTTCTCAATCATGAAAGCGGACGGGCACGAGACTGTTCAATTTTCAGCATGGCGAACTTGCTTTTGTCATGCAATTTCACCGATCATCTGTCACGTAATTCGCTATTATATGCTTTGCGTACGTGTAACTTACAGCTGGTGCAATAATGTCTTGAAGCGCAACCTTGAGCTGTAAAGTTGGCGATCGAGCTCCTGCCTCTACGCTAATTGTACTCGGCATAGAATGTCTCGATTTTGGGCCCCCGAAACAATTCGTTTGTGTAAGACCTGGAAGCCAACTGCAAATGTGAGTGTAACGCGTTTGCACATTATGCCTCCCGAGGAACATTGAAACCGTCAGAGGAGAGGAGTGACAAGGAAGAGATGATGAAGTAGGGGCATTTCGCCAGTTCGGCTGTTACTTGGTTTGCAACGTTTGAGACGCTACGTGCAAGTTTCTACGGCTCCCTGCTTCTAATTTTAGGCTCCTCTATATATGCTACAATACACTCAACTGACTGGCATTATTATCGGTAGGGATCAGCCATATCTTTCCACCGTACCATGTGAGTAGAGATTGCTGAATCTTTGATGAGGAAATTATTTGTTTGTCCGGAGAAAAAAAATAGGTGCCGGTATATTGAATTTACATGCTAAAGCACATCTGAAAACATTATGTATTTTACGAACGAATAAATACAAGCGATCACTACGGAAGACTGCGGAAGAATTCCCAATATAGACTAGTATCCTTTGTGCCAAGACACAGAAAAGTAAATTGAAGAATGTAGCTGGTTGCGCCACTTTCGGGACGCATTGTAACACAAGCACATTCACAAAAGAGCTTTATCTCTTGATTGCCATATTAGGGTTTGTCTGACTATCATAGACGATTCTCAGTAGGCTGCATATTGAAACCGTTTTTTGGAAGGCATATTTCAGAATGACAACGTAATCTTGTTTCTTCGCAAACATATTGATGGAGATGTACTTTCCAATTTGTACTGTACAGTACACATAGATGGAGACAAAGTCGAGATTCTTTAATAATAATGAGCTTTCAAAGAGAGATCTTGGGAGCTCGCTTGAGCGTATCAGTTCGGAATTAATTTGCTCAACTCCATGGTAATATAAGAAGCCCCCTGTGAAGGGGATAGAAAGCT